CCACAACTTGGCAAGCAGAAATCAATGTAACACAAACTGCAGCATCCTGTAGTCACTTCTGGGTTTTGGCACTTCTCCAATCATGTGACAACCTGGTACCGCCTCTCGATGACGTCACAGTGTTCAGCCCATCCTTTTAAGTGCCTGGCGTCTCCCCTCCCATTCTCCTATTGATCAGGGGGTGTGATCTTCTGTCCTAAGTCCACCCATATTGAATTTTATTCATTTGGGGGCATATGCACTTAGTCAGGGCCGGACTGGGAAAAAAATTAGGCCCGGGCATTTTTCAATCAGAGCGGCCCCCTAAGAAGGGGGCGGGGCCAGAGAGGGTGTGTTTTGTCATCACTAATGACAACACGCCCCCTCTCAAAGTGAGCATGTTGGTTCAATGCCCAGAGCCCTGCTGAAGAGCTCTGGCATTAGAAAAAGGCCCTGAATTTGTTCTGCCCAGCGCAAGCAAATGTAATAACATGCTTGTGTTGTGTTTGCTTTTAAATTGTCTCTGGTGTCTCCACAAGTGGGATACCAGATACCAGAGGACAAAAGGGCCAGGAAAGTGTATGGTGCATGTGTTTGGAGCCTGCTTGTGGGATTGCGTGTGTGTAGAGTGTGGTGTGGTATTGTGTAAATAGGTCAATTTAATTTGTGTTTGTGGTGTAATATGTGTGGCTAGGGGCTGTAGAGTGTGTGTGTATAGGGGGCATAGTTTTATAGGGGATGCAGCGAGTGTGTACATACGGGCAGTAGTGTGTGTGTATATGTGACGTAGTGTGTGTAGGGGTTGCAGAGAGGGTGTGTTTAGAGAATGTTGTATGTGTTTGCTGACAAGGAATGTAGTGTGTGTGTGTAGGAGATCTACTGTGTAAAGGACCCAGTGTGTGTGTGTGTGTGTGTGTATAGAGGATAAAGAGTGCATATAGAGTAAGAGATCTAGTGTGTATCTGGAGCGTAATGTGTGTAGTGGTGCATTGTGAGGGGTGCTGTAGTGTGTGTGTGTGTGTGTGTGTGTGTGTGTGTATGTATGTATATATATATATATATATATATATATTTGGACTTATTGTATGTGTGAGGGGCGCAGTGTGTGTATGTAAGAGGGGTGCTGTGTGTGAGGGTGTTTTTATCTGCTGTCACATTCTAGGTTTCTAATTTTCTTTGTCTGTTAACTCACTGAGGGTTATTTTATATATATATATATATATGTATATATATATATATGTGTGCTGTATGTGTGTCTGGGTGCTGTGTGTGTCTAGGGGTGCTGTGTCTGGGGGTGCTGTGTGTGTGTGTGTGTCTGGGGGTGCTGTGTGTGTGTGTCTGGGGTGCTGTGCTGGGGGTGCTGTGTGTGTCTGGGGGTGTGTGTGTGTCTGGGTACTGTGTGTGTATCTGGGGGTGCTGTGTGTGTCTGGGTGCAGTGTGTCTGGGGTGCTGGTGTGTCTGCAGTGTGTGTGTCTGGGGGTGCTGTGTGTGTCTGGGGGTGCTGTGTGTGTCTGGGGTGCTGTGTGTGTCTGGGGGTTGCTGTGTGTCTGGGGGTTGCTGTGTCTAGGGGGTGCTGTGTCTGGGTGCTGTGTGTGTCTGGGGGTGCTGTGTCTGCTGTGTCTGGGGGGGTGCTGTGTCTGGGGGGGTGCTGTGTCTGAGTGAATGTATTTTTTTATTTAAATTTAAATATTTTTTTTTACTAATATAAAAAAATATTCCCCTCCTCCCTTCTTACCTTTATCCTGGGAGGGGGGGGTGGAGATCCGTTCTGCCTGGGGGGTGGGAAGCCGTGCTGCCTTCCCTGGTGGCCCAGTGGTGAGAGTGAACTCTAGCCTGCAGGTTAGAGTTCACTCTCGCGAGATGAATCCCGCAAGAGGATCCGGCGGAGCTGCTTGTTAGAGCTCCGCCGGGTCCTCTCTCCTCCCTCCCCAGCCGGCGGCCGCATTTCCATGCCTGTGGGCCGGTGAGGGAGATCTTTGATCTCCCCACCGGCCCATGGAGGCACTATGCAGGGCCAGCGCTCGGGTAGCGCTGGCCCTGCACGTGCCGGCAGGGGAGATCCTGTGATCTCCCCTGCCGGCCTCGGCCCCACGGCCATCGCGGCCCACCGGGCATTTGCCCGGTGTGCCCGATGGCCAGTCCGGGCCTGCACTTAGTCTATCCCTATGGTGTAGTTCTAAGGCTGATACAAACATCCTCTTGTACTGAACATGGCATATAACTATACTGCAAGTTGATCCTTACCCAAGAAAGTTATAATACTTCCTTAAATGCTTCCAAAAAGCCATATTTGCTAAATACATTAGAAGGGATTCTTACACATATCGTATATGTATAAGCATATAGGCATAAGGCTATCCTTGATATAAGATAAGGCCAGACACTAATGGAAGTATTTAGAAAATTGGGCAGACTAGATGGGCCGAATGGTTCTTATCTGTCATCACATTCTATGTTTCTATATAGTAGAACACTAATTAAAAAACATAATTGCATATCCATATTAAGTTCCTCTTTGTTCCTATATAAAGCATGAAGATGGCTCTGCTACACAAGTGTCAGCTATCAAGTATACTTGTTTAGGTTCACGATTACAAATAGGTTTGGTCATGTTACCAAGTGGAAAATGGATTATATACTAAATCAAAATTTCTAATACTGTACCTAATTGTATCCACTAATCTTATCTGTGGGGTTAGTTGTCAACCTGCAGTATACAACTATCAATACTATCCTAATCAAATAAGGAAAAATATGCAAATGCATAAAAAATAAATACAATTTTTTTTTGTAATAAAAAATCAACAATAAAGAAATATAAAATTATTTGAAAAATAAATCTAAAAAAGAGAGAAACAAATTTTATTTTTTTTGGTGAAGGGGAAAAACATTGACACGATAAAATTATCGAATTTATAGGAAATAGCAGATCTCAATGTCTCCATTGAGGCCCCTAGGGGATAGTGATTTTAATTTAAAGATTCACCTCATTTCCTGTTGTGCTAATTTTTTGTCTAGATCTTCCCCTCTCCAATCTCTAGTGACTTTTTCTATCCCTAAGAATTTAATTTTGGTGGGATCGCTGTAGTGTTTTAATGTAAAATGGCTCTTTAAAGCCTTTAAAACATGTTCTCCAACCCGTGTACAGATCTGATTTGGTTTTTCCCACGTACTGTAAATTGCAAAGGCAAGTAAGGACGTAAATACAGTTCTTACTATGACAGGTAATGAGTTGTTTAATTTTATATTTATTACCCATCATCAAAGAAATATGATGCAGCACTCGCTCCACAAAGGGGAAAGACGGTACCACGAATGAAGCCCAGTGCGGTCCTCTAAAAAAGAAGGATCACACTGGGAGAGAGCACAGAGAAGTAGAGAAAATGATATGGAATTAAGTAAAAATGTAAAGACCTTTAATGAATCTAAGATAAAATGGGAATGACCCAGTGGAACTAAATACTGTGAATAGAACTATAGATCCTCCGGGATAGAGAGCGGTTGAGGTCCGCTATGAATAGAACTATAGAGACTCCAATAGGTAAATATACCTAAGCCAAACGTCTAAGTAAAGGTAACAAGAACCTAAAGGTATCTCAAAAGGAAAAAAATACTAAACGCTGTCCCTAGGTTACCTTGGCCCCTTTACGAAGCTAGTGCCTACTTGAACCAGTCAACCCTAGTACTATTAGCAAAATAACTTTTGAACCAAACAGTGCTCATAGTGATACCCAAAAGTGTAAAATAAAAGTGGGACAAAAACGAAATGCTTGATGCGTGTTTAGGCGTGCTCACATGCCGTCGTCAGGGGCAAAGTGAATGAGCTCCCCAAGGTAATGTGCTCAAATACCTATCCTTCTAATTAGCCCTATGTGTATAGTCCAATCAGATCTGAAGGCAGGTAAACAGGAGGGAGGAGACCAATTATGTATTGGACCAACCAATAGAAAGAGAGGAACATGAATACTAAAGTACAGCTCAGTGTAACAATGGACCTGTCAAATACACCCCTTAGTACTGCCTATTTGAGACGGGGTAATGACTCTGTCAAGTGATACTAAATATCATAATGCCTCAATCAGTCTGTTACCGTGTTAAGGAGGACACACATTCCTGTTTATAATCAACCCAAAACACGAAAGAGATGGGCAGGGACTCAGTCGGGACACGCCACTTGATCGCATTCCAACGGATGAGGCACAGGGGCGATACAAGGGCAAGTCCAAAAGTGGGAGAGACACGTCTGCATCTCAAAGTACCTCCCCCAAGGTGGTGCCACATAGACCCATATCGCAATCGGTTTGCTCACACTTGATGTAACTGTAACCTTAGGAGGCAGGTCCAGAGCGGGGGGAAAAAAAGTAAAAAGTAATCCATTACCTGATCCTCTGGACTACCATTCCGACCTATCTGTTTGAGGATCACCTAGTCAGCCTCAGACAGGGGATTGCTCCCCTGCCTGGTAGGTTCGTCCTGTAAAGTTGAGATATATACTTTGTAACTATCCTGTTAGAACTTACACGAACAAGGAATATTGACAATAAACAGTTAATGGTGTATAACATGGTTACAAAAATTATGTAACCATTATCAACTGCTGTAACTGTGACTAAAGGTACCTCCAGTCTCATTTTCTGCATAGTCACTAGTTAGTCCAGATCAACATACTTAGATTGCACCTAGTGGTCGTGTATTTACCTTTCTTACACTAAATTATACATAGTAGTCAGGGGCGTACCTAGAGCATTTGGCACCCGGGGCG